TACACTCTCAACTGAGTGTTATGAGAAATCATCAGCAAGAAGGCTGCGTGAGCAACAAAAAAAACTCATAAATGTATTTCTTTGTTAATAAAGATTTAAAAAATTCCAATAACCATCATGTTACCTTAGTTTAATGCCGTTTCAATGTATTAGGTCCTTTTCTTTATTACAATCATTACAAAAAAAGTCGATAGTAGTATACTGATGTCTCAGTAGCTGACTAGCTTGCTAGCTAACGTTAAATTGTTGTTGATTTGTGCAAGACAGTCCTGCATGTCGATATTTTTTCTATGTTGCATCTGTTCCCTCCTTTTAAGGCATATGACACCCAAAATTTAACTTAAGTCCAGCAGCGAACTTACTGCACTTGTTAGCATTCCTCTAATATCAGTGCAGACTGGCAGGGTAGGAGCACAGGTTGCTAACATTAGGATACAGATAAATGGTAAAAGTCATTGTAATATACCATTATTGCCATAGTAGTATCTTTTTATGTAAATGCCTTTGATGGCGATACTGATGACGTGAAGGATTGTCCCATTTCAAAGATGAAGATTTCAGTTGCTGCCCCTTGATCCTTGGTTGAGCTTTTGTTTCGCAGTGGCTTTTAAATCCAGTCTTTTAAACACCATGAATACAAACACAGTCACCGTTCATTCTCCATCTCCCCTTGTGTTTGTAGTTGTGGACCTAATGTAGTCAGCTTTATGAGGTCTGAGCAGTCATTATTGCACTCATTAAAACGGAATAATCGGTTCTGGCCTGCTTTGCTAGTTATTAGAGAGCGCTACCATGCAGAGAGAGAATTAGTATAGAATGAGACCCAGAGCCTTGAATTAGACCTAATTTGTCAAAGCAAACCTTTGCAGTAATTGTTTCATTAAAGGCTAAAGACAAACGTGGCATCGCCCAGTAAGGGTCATTGTTGTTTGTCAATGGAAAATTGTTATTTGAGGCAAAATTATCATCAAAAGTGCAGTGTGTTTATGTTTATTTTGCTTTAGCCACAGCTTAACTGTGTATTTAATGCTTTTATCCTTCATAAAGCTCTAAGTAGTAGTTGTAGCTTTAGTTGCAGTGGGAGAATCTGTCACTTCCAATCTGCACTTAAACCAGCCCACAGCCAATGAGTCTTTATCACTCATTACAGTGTGCATGAGATTCAGAACCCATTAACCTTTCTGCTGCCTTTCTGCCCACACACTCACATGCAGGTCAGAGTAGTGGTTTACTTGGTTCAGTAGCTGTCTGTCTATGTTATGTACTGTACAGTCTGTATGTGTGCTTTTGTGTATGTTTGTATATCTACTATGCTCACAAAAATGTGCCACCCACTTCCTTAAATGCAGACATGTTTTCACTGTTTTCAGCAGCTTAACAATTAGCCTAAAGCTAGAAGCTCACTTATCTGTGTGTGTGAGTCGGTGCATGTAGGTGTGTGGAAGCCAAAGAGCTGAATTTAAGATCCATTGCCAGGACTAAAAAACCTCATATTGAGTTAATTTCCATCAATAACCCATAAATAAAACATGGAGTAGTGGCAAACAGAGGCTTTTTGTAGCTGATGCGGTGACCTGTGGCACACAAATGTTTTTTTTATAGTGTGTGTGTGTGTGTGTGTGTGTGTGTGTGTGTGTGTGTGTGTTAAAGAGCATGAGACAGAAAGTGATCCATCACCACACTTAAGCACCCCAAGATACACACTGACATACATAAACCACTGGCTCAAAGTAGTCTTTCAGTGGGTGAAATGAAATTTAAAGGGAGCTTTGTAAATGAATATATGAGCCTCTGTATGCCCACACAGTCTGCACCTTCTGTGTGTGTGTGTGTGTGTGTGTGTGTGTGTGTGTGTGTGTGTGTGTGTGCAGCCAGTGTTAACTTCCAGGGGAAGTAGAAGTGTTAAAGAAAAAGGAAGCACTTGGGAAATGACTTGAAACACAGCCAGCTGGCTAAGTGACAGAACGACTGTCTTTCACTCTTTCACTGTCTGTCCTTCTGTCTTTCTTTTTTTTCTGTCTTTCTCTTTGTCTCTCGCTCTCTCTCCCTCTCTCACACACACTTTCTTCTATGACCTTTAAGAGGCATTTGATTTGTGTCAAAAAGCCAGCGGGTGATTATCCTTGCAGATCACAGTGGAGGGATTTGCTCCAGCCTTTGTGAAATGGCTACTGGCATTCAGTAAATTGCAGCACTGTGCCATAGCTGTGGTAATTGATCGTTGTTTCGTGTGTAGTCTACTTTTACTGGACTGTATTTTGTCCATTTTTTCAAGACGACAGTTTACTGAGGAGCTGACCTGAGGCCACCTCTTCACTTAATGTACCAAATCTTGTAATGTGTGCCTAATATACATCCACTGCGTGTCTCCTATATGTTGTGCCATATCCTCAGCCCCTTTCTGGTGTGTATGTTGGTGTGTGTGCATATATATCATAATGGGAGTTTCGATTAGGCTCAGGCAGTACCTACTTCTCCATACATTCCTACCCTCCTGACATTTCACCGGGGTATATGACAGTGTTTGTGTTGAGCTGAGCTGTTGGTGATAGAAGTTATTGTAGCAAGTATGTCTTTGTCTATCTTACAATGCTGTTTTTCTAATATGCAATTAGCCTACTTAGAAAAGTCTTGCAGGGTTTAAATACTTAAGGGCCATAGAATATTGAATAGATATCAAATAAGAGCCTTTCTTCCTGAAGGGAGAGACCTATTGCCTTGGCAGATACTGACACATCAATGGGCTGAACAGAGATGATGCGTTGAATAAAATCATTATCTGTATCAGTTTAATAGAAACAAGATCGTCTGTTCTTTGGACGGTACTGAAAATCTTACCTTTAGGATTTCCCCGCTATGCTGTAATGCCTCGTCCAAGCCTAGTTTCCATTACTGTATTTTCCCTTTATTGTATGTTATTTACATTACTATCAATCAATCAATTGATCAATAATTTATTTGTCACATGAATTCATACAAAGTACATACAAAGTTAAATTTGATCCTGTCTGTCACCTCCTTCAACTTGTACATTGTAATTTATCCTTAATTGTTGGGTGCTGCCTTATAAATGTCCAGACTGGCTGCAGTGCGCTTTAATGAAGTCCATGATAGTTCTGGTGATCCAGGGCTTCTGGTTGTGGAATTATTTAAATGTACCTTTGGTGCAGTAGCTGCTATTGTTTTACAAATTAAATCCATCACAGACTCAGTGAGTTAATTGGTGTCATCAATGACGTCTACGGTGGCGTCCTGGAACATTCTCCAGACCCTGCTTGGCTTATTGTCTTTTGTCACTGGAGGCATCCATCATGGTTTGTATACATATCTTGGACTCAACAAGATGGCTTCATGGTCACTACTCCCAAACACTAGCAGTGTTTCTCTACAGCTGCCTCTGACGGCTTATAGCAACAATCCAAAGCAGGAACTGGACAGCACCTCACATTCTAACTGTCACACCAGTCCTTATTAACCATAAGCACACGCCTCCTCTCCTTCTGTCGCAAGAGTCCTCTGCTCTGTCAGATCAACATACAGACAAAGAGTCTCCTGGTTGAATGGCACTGTCCAGGATTTAGCCAAGTTTTGTTCAAACAAAGAATATTTCAATTCCTGATATCCTGTTGGAAACTGATGTGGGCAAAGAGGTCGTCCAGTTTATTTTCCAACGCCTGCACAATGGCCAGCAGGATGCATGAAGCCATTTGTGACGTGTGCTATCTGGCTGGTGATGAGCAGTCACTTTTTCCAGGCACACGGAGTGCACTGTATCTAATATACAGACATTTTAACTTAGAATAATTGTGCTTCATTTACACATTTGTGAAAGCTGAGAACAGTCTTTTGAATTAGAGTTAATAACCTCTTTTAGTAATTGTTAATTTATTTTAATATCACAGAGACTACAGGAAAACAGTGCAGCAACATTAATTTCAGTTTCCTAGATAAGGCAGTTTTACAGTAATTGTAAAACAAAGAAGTTGATTACATACAGTAATTTCCAATCTGCAATGCAACAATGCGAAGGATATACAACAAGCAACAACTGCAGGCACTGAAGATGGGTCATTTCACACACAATGACCAGCATATTTTTTTATTACCACACACTTGTAGGCTATAGGTCTCATTACACTTCTCTTATCTGCGCTCATTTTGTCCCATTTGCAAGTCTGTCTCTATGCTGCAGGCAGTGTTACACTCATCCATACGGTATTGGAGTCTTTCCTTTATCTGCAGTTCAAATGGGTTGAACTGAGGGGAGTCCCACCAGAGAGAGAGGAGAAAATGGAACAGTTTTACACATCTAAAAATAAAACATTTGACAGGATCCTCTGCTTGCGTCATCCCCCCTTGTGGTTCCACCCTCAAACACAAACACACACATACCCTTTGAGATGTGGTTGTGTAATAGAGCTGCCTCGTTAAGGACGCTCACACAAACGTATACGCGGAAAAATCGCACTTTATCACAATAATGAATATAGTGGCCTCTCACAGCCACACACACATAATCACAGTATTTTGGAATAGCACTGCAATATATTAGTATTGCATACTGTAACCCAGCATTAAATTACAGCAAAGCTTGCTTTGGGGTAGTCCCTGGTACAACCTAATGCAGCATTAGTATGGAGGCAGATGTTGCCTAGGGACTTGCTTCTGGTTGGGGTGGGCCTTGGAAGTCATTGAAAGGGGAGAAGTTAAAATCTTTTTAGTCAAAGAGTCAAAAAGTACCTGGAGGGCATTTCATGAAAATATAAACTTCTCTGCCCTCTGGAAATGTTGTGTGCAGTACGCTGTGAACTCCCTCAAGACAAGCGACAAAATCCAACTTTATTTTCGCTTCATGAATAACCAGCTGTGACAGCCTAGAAGACTTTGACGTCCAATTTTGGGTGATTTTGTTAAGACCTTGCTCTACTGCTGCCCACTCTGCATTTGCTGAAACAGAAGTGGTCACTTGTAACAATACTGCCTTGTCTTTGTTTTTGCAGGACATCCAGGCTGAGATCGATGCCCACAATGACATCTACAAGAGTGTGGACGGGAACAAGTCGAAGATGGTCAAGGCACTGGGCAGCTCAGAGGAAGCTGTGTTCCTTCAACACAGACTGGATGACATGAACCAACGCTGGAGCGACCTGAAGGCCAAATCGGCCAACATCAGGTAAGTAAAACTTTATCCAATACATGCAAAGAGAAATGTTTGTTTCCTCCAGTGTTTATGGTCATGCAGCCGAGATTGCAGTTTTCAGCTCTCAACTCTGAAGAGACAAAACATGTTGGTCTCTGCCTCAGTTTACCATCTGAATCAACCAGTGAATTGCATGTTGCAGAAGTGACTTCCTAAGTGTAAATCTAGTGTAATTCTCACATATTAGATAAAAAAACAAAACAAACAAAAGAGAAAACTCAAGACCTCAAGGTTGCAAACACTAAATCCCATTTGAAACGCCAAGCACCCAGTCTCCAAGAGTTCTGAAATATTTCTTCCAGATTGAGATTTTTTCTCCACTCTACAAAAGTGCATGAAGCACAAATCAAGTGTTAGGTACAGTTCAAGGCCACTATGCTCTGGTACTGTTTACACCTCATATCAACATGCTTTCTGGGTGAGTGGCTCAAATGTGGGCAGCTCTAAGTACAGGTGCAAGTGCACCAAATATGTGTGAGATCTGATCGCTCATACCACATTCAGAGGGGGTCTGGGACGTATATGGCCACATTCTTTCAGCAGTGTTTATGTTAATGTGTCCTGGGCCACACTGAAGGACCCAACTGACAGCCTTGCTTCGCTGGCACCCCACTGGATAAGAAAAAATTCTGTTGGTGCTACACAGAGCTGAAGGACTGTCCCCAGAGCCAGCCTCCTTTACGCAAATGATCAGTTAACCGTATACCCAGTTAGCACGAGCTAAGCAGCAGCTATTAAACGGTCCCAACAAATTCACACTGACACTGTAATGGCTGAACTCTGTCATTAAACCCGTCAATAACCGATACGTAACGATAGCCGTGTAATGATAACAGTTTGCCACGTTGCTGTGTGCGGAGAGGTGGACTCTGGTTGTAAGTAAAGGCAGTATGTGTGCATATAGCACGACAAACCTCCCGCCAGTTAAAATAAACAATGCATTTGGTCTTTGCAAACAAAAATGATTAACATGTTTATTTGCATATAAAGCAAGAAAGTGAGATCCGATCACTAGTGGTCATTCTGGATGCGTGTGGAGACGTTCTGTCTAATGCCAGGTGTGAACAGACAGAAATAGAGCCGTCCACTTATGATCAAATCACCCAAGACGCTTGTTAATAGCATGTGTCAATAAACTCACTCATTGAACTCACCAATACATTTTATTTTGTGGTTAACTCATAAACACTGTATCTCCCTGACTGTTAACTGGGGCATTCACTACTCTCAGCTCATGAAAAAACAGTCCTGTTCATTCTGGATTCTTGGATTCATGGAAGACCACATGTGACACACATGCAGCATGTTGTGCAACAGTCATATAGGTTGTTGTGTTTTCTGTCAGCTGTGCTTATACAGTAGCTCCTGTGATACACGTCTACCATGACCCACAGGCATGAAATACAGCTCCAAAAGGACAAGAAAGCCAACACATAAACTTCTGAGGACAGAGACAATGCCGCGTCAGCCACAACCTTGGCATAAATAAAGAAGACCGGTGATGGGTGGGGATGTACAGGGTGAAGAAAGTGAAGGTGGAAATGAAGTCGACAGGACCAGATGGAGATCTTCAAAGACAAAGAGGAGGAGGGGGGCGGTGGAGAGAAGCAGCAGAGGAGCACAACAAAGCTTTGGGGGCAGGGGGAAAGGTTAGACAGGCTGAAGAGAAACTGGGGAGAAATTTAAAAAAAAAAAAAAAGTGTGGGGAAAGATTATGTGCTGGATAGAGTTGGTGGGTCAAGGTCAAGCAGTGCAGACATAATAGGCTGGACTTGTTCCACAGGAAGACGAAAGAGAGAAAAATAGACAGTGAGGGATCTGTGTGTGTGTATGTGTGTGGGACGTGGGACACTGTGTTCGTACACAGCCCATTATGCCTTCATTACGGTACATGTGTAATTATGACTAACTCGACGAGCTGCAATAGGAGGTCTCTGTACACAGTGTTCAGACACATTATGGACAGAGGAGAGAAGAAAAACAAAAGTGCTTATCAACATATATTGCATGCATGCTACCGCCCACACAATTAGCAGCCTGTACCTACACTAAAAGGGCAGCAACCTGAGTGGTCAGCCATTAGATTTTACAGACGAATTGTATTAAGAAAGGCCTATTTTTGATTCCATCTTTAATGTTTTTATAAGCCATAAACCTTTTATTTAATCCGTTTAGTGAAAATAAAAGAATATACGTACGTGTTTGTGTCTAAGTGACAAAAGGGAACAACAGCAGTGGTGAAACAGGCTGCAGTATCATTTATGGGCAATAGTACACTGCCAATTTACGTCCACTAACAGTGCTTATTTTTGCCTTTGATAAGTTCAGATTATTATTCTAAGTGTCTAACAACATTATGATAATGATCCCTTCAGGGACCTTTTTGTTGAAGAATTAGATCCTTTTTGTTTATCCAGATACCACCCTAAAATTGGTATTGCCAGACCCACCTGACTCCATGTATATAAACAGTAATTTTCATCAAAACACACTTCATTCAAAGGTAATAGAAACAACATAAATCTCACAAAAACAGTCTTGGTTCGTTTTTTCTCTGTACCAGCAATCACCAAGTCTGGTTTTGTTGGAAAAAAAACTTAATTCACTGCTTGAGATGTGACAATATGTTGTCTCTATACATGCTAAAATGACTGTATCTGTAATATGAATCTAGTGGGTTTGCCATTGGTGTTTTTGGGGCTGTTTCTGGTTAACCAAAAAGGATCTCACTCTTAACAAAAAGGTGTATCTCTGTAGGGATCCTTTCAATTAGTCAGACACTTATGATAACAATCTGAGCCTGCCAGTGGCAAAAACAAGCCCTTTGAGTGGACATTAATTGATGATGCACAGATGCTCTAAGTGATAACTGTGCAGCCTGTTTTGCTGCTGCTGGCTGCAGCGCTCTTGCTCAGTACTGGACCAGTTTTAAAAATTGTTGTTCCCGTTAGTAGTTAGACATAAAAACAAGAGAAAATAAGGTCCAGGTTGAGAAATAACAGAAATCACCCTTTAAATAGACTGATTTGTGTGTACAAGGCTACAAATGCTGTAACAGTGAGAGTTAAAAATGGCGTGTTTTGGCAGAGCCCACCTGGAGGCAAGTGCTGAGCGCTGGTCTCGTCTGCTGGGCCTCCTGGAGGAGCTGTGGAGGTGGATCTGCATGAAGGATGAGGAGCTGGCCAAGCAGATGCCCATCGGAGGAGATGTCCCCACCCTGCTGCAGCAGCAGAACCACTGTACGGTACGTGCTGTCGCCACAGGCAATGTTCCTGTCACGCTTTACAAGATTGATCATACCTTGTCCTTCATTGTTTTCTTCAAGTTTCCAAGTAGTTAAGTTTTTAATTTTTTCATAGAAGAGTATGTGTTTCCGGGGACACAAAGCAGACCTGTCCCGGAAGAGCTGAGAGTTCTGGATGGTTCATAATGTAGCAGAAGATCAGAAATGTCCATAAACTATTCAGTGCTTTATTAACAAACAGTAGTATTTTGAAATTAATTCTTTGACAGTCAGACAGAAAGCCAGCAGTGGCATTCTTAATCAGCTGCAGCTGTTTGATTGATTTTTTTGGTGAGACCCTAACAGCAGTCAAGCCTACTGAAGATAAATGTATGGAAAGGTTTTCCCAAATCCTGCGGAGACATAAGTCCTGTGCTTTAATCCTTGATAAATTCTCAAGGTGATAGTAGGCTGACTTTCTAATTGTCTTAATGTGGCTGTTAAAATTCAGGTCTGATTCCATCATTACACCAAGATTTCATGTTTGATCCGTGGTTTTTAACACCACTGATTGAAGCTGAGTGCTGACTTTTAATCGTTCCTCCTTGGCTCCAAAAACATTGACCTCAGTTTTGTCTTTGTTTACTTGAAGAAAATTCTGCCACCTTTGATCATTAATTTGTTCAATGCACTTACTCCTTATATTCGGCCATAGTCTCCTGAGGATATGATTATGTAAATTTGTCTGTCCTCTGCATAATTATTGTAACATAGTCGGTTCTCTTCCATAATCTGAGCCAGTGGAAGGATGTCAACAGAAGACAAGACAAAACAAACATGATGATGATGATGATGATGATGATGATGATGATGATGAAGAGGCCCCAGAATTGAGCCTTGGGGAACTCTGCATGTCATGTCATGTTTTGTTACACTTATTGGCTGAAGGAGTTTGTCTGTCAAGGCCAGTTCTGCTCATTTATGGTGTTTGGCGCGGCACCGAGTTCACACAGAGTTCAGATACAGAGAGCAAAACATAATGTTGAGCTCACGTCATCAGCGTGGTCTTGGCAGGCTAGATTACGATAGCACCACCATGCAGTCATGATGATTTGCAGTTACAAATGACAGAAATCCAACAAGTACAACACTTGTTTAAATATTGTTTCCATTATTTATGAGTTTTGTCGAGACCTGGAGGCAGGGCGAAATTTAATCTAATTCTCTATTCAGGAAAAACCATGTAGTTACACAACCATTTTCATCCCATTGATTTGTCCTAGTAGGAAATGTACAGGTGTTACTTATAACATGAACAGTGGTTCTGTTCTATTCTAAGTGTCCCAGTGAGCCACAACAGTGTGACAGTGAGCCAGCATGCACAATATGCACATGCACAAGATCCTGAAACTGAAGCAGATAAATAGAATTAAGCTACCATTCATTTTGATGTTTTTACGCCGATGCTGTCCGGCTTTGACTTGTCAAAGTGTCTTCTGTGAAAACAGCCTTTGAATAACAGAATGTATTAGACACAATCTGCATAATTGAGAGTCAGTCTGTTCCCAGACTAGACCAATCAAAACAGGGCTGGATTAGTCAGATACTTGCTCAGGGGACAAAGTATCTTATAAAAGGAGAAAAAAAGTCTTGCACATACTACCTATGCGCCGTAATGTTCCTGACCAAAGTTGATAAGTGTGGTCTGCTGAACAGTCAGGATTAAAACCACAGGAACATACTGTTATTGTAAAGCAATGGCAGTAATCACCCTGACATTATTAAGCGTCAGACTGGTCAGCACCATGGCCACAGTACATTTAGCTAAACTACAAATTGCAGCAATCAAGCATAACCACAGAATGAGGTTTTATGTTTATTATGGTCACTCAGGAGTCAGCATGCACAAAACTTGTATTAGAGGGGAGTTAAAGACCATCATCAAAATCACTACTATGCAATCGTTGTTGTTCCTTTTATTTCATTCCTAGAAATATTGTTATTTATCACCCTCGTACCACACTGTTTCATTTATTCTAACAAGTGATCAATACCTTCATTGTGCCAACCCATTCACACCTTTGTCATCATCACTGCTATTTGTCATCCGTGTTCCCCACTGTATTATTTATTGTAACCACTGGTTATTGTGATAGTGCATTGGCGTGTAATTGCTTTCAGATAGATGACTCACCCTGTGGCTACTGTTTACTCCGAGTCCGCTGGCCGCCACTACTGTTGATGTCACTCTTGACATCGTAATGCGTTTCTCTGCACCCCATTCACCACACTATTATTTTGCTCACCAAAACGCCTTGAGAGTAAACACATGTGCTGTTGTGCTGGGTTGCAGGATTACACACACTGAGACAGATCAACACACACACACACACACACACACACATTCATTACATATTTGTTTGCAAATGCACATGTATACTGTATGTGTCCCGATGCATGTGTGATGACTTTAAGGATGTGTACGATATTAGAGTTTGAAAAACAATTCTAATGACAGGCATTGCCAGATTTTTTATGTCATTATACACTATATTACATTGAATTTTCTCATTACATCTTGGTAGATATATGACTAATCAAGCAATCATGCACACAGAAACACAATGAGTTTTCAAGAAAAGCTCAAATGAATACCTGGAAGGAGAAGAAAAATGAATGAAGAAAAAAGCAAATAAAAGTTTTGATATGGGAAGGTCAACGAAAAAATAATTTCACATTTAATAAAAGTCTATAAACCTTAGGAATTCTAAACCTCACCCTAACCCCTATCAAAGAAAAAGAGAACTTAGCCTTCAATATGAAAACAGCGTGTTCAGTGCATCCTTGCGGCCTCTTATTTCAAAGACAAACTATTGAAACTGGTAGATAACTGATCTGCTGCAGAGACAGAGTGGGGCTCCGTGCATCGGCAGACAATCAATTTCTTGGCCGCTGTAATGCCTGCTAAGTATAGTCTTTTAATGATTTAATGAAGGATCATCATTCAAAAGCAGAACAGATTATAGAAAAGAATAGTTTTACTCAGGATCATGGCTAAAACGTTTTATATTATTCAGATATTGCTGCCAGGGCAATGTCAGACCATGTCACTATACTGGATCCAGGGAGCACATAACTACAATGTGGTGATGATCTGGCTTTCATTATATGTCTGAAATAAAGAGATGTATGAATTTAGTGTTGAATTTGACAAGAATGTGTGAATGACTGGGATTATGAGAAGAGAGACATATTCTGCTAGTTAAAGGAATACCTCACCCCTAAACTTAGCATTTGTATACATTGACCCTAACCCTCTTGCACGCCTCCATGATGAACAACAAATCCAAAACTGAAGAAAATTCTTAATGAATTGGGGTAAAAGGGGACCGACTGTCAGTTCTATTGACTTGCCTAGGCCCAAGTTTTCTGCCATATGTGAGACTGTTTTAAATCATTTTATAATTATTTTAAGTCATTTAGTTTTAGATCATTTTGTGGGTGAAGTATTCTTTTAAAAGAGTTGTGCATGCACACAGTCCTTTTTTAACAGTGATGGATAAGTAATGACATTTCAGGTTGGCTCCCTTTCACTTTTACCTTTTAAATAGCTTCTTTGCATATGACCTCATACATTGGTGCAATGTCCAGATCGAGGGCAGGTAACTGCAGGCAAAGGCTAGAAAAGGAAGTAAGAAAAATTTATTTATATAGCGCTTTTTGCAGATGCAGACGTAGGTCACAAAGTGCTTCACAAGGGCAATATACAGCTACGTGAGCCATGCAGTGAAAAGTGCACAACTAGCAAAACTATTTGCACACACACAAGAAAAAAAGAATTCACACAACACAAAAACAATACACAAAATTTGAAAAAATACAGCTCTGGTACATTCAAGTCACCCAAACACCTGTCTAAACAGGTGTGTCTTTAGCTGGCTTTTGAATGGAACCACAGAGTCCACACATCTTAAGGGAGCAGGCAGAGCATTCCAAAAACGTAGGTGCTACGGTCGCAAAAGCTTGATCACCACGTGTCTTAAGGCGAGTGCGGGGGGCAGACAAAAAAAATGTAGTGTATTTGATCGAAGAGCACAAGCTGAAGAATAGTGGTTCAGCCCCATAAGAGGGAGTCTGACAGTAAAATCCTCTGTGAGTAAGAGTGAGAATTTGGAACTGGATCCTATACAACATTGCAGTAATGCTTATGATTTGCACTGTTTGAGTTGTGCTTATCCAACAAATTTGGAAAAATCAAAGGCCACTGTAAGTCCAGACTATGGTAGGACATAACTGTGAAAAAGTGGGAGATGTGGATGAAAAACAATCAATTAATGTCAAGCGTAAACGTTTAAGCGTAGCGCAAGTTGAATACAATTACAATGCACTGTCACAACTTCTACATGTTTTTAACTACAACCCAGATTTTTAACGGTGTTTCACCAAACCTCTGGGAACGGTTGTTCCAGTAGATAGCCTGACAGCGGTGCATCCATGTACAGAGCTGAAATATAAAAGACAGTTAAACTCAAACACATTTACTCACCAGACCAAAAACAAGACAGCTGTCGTTTCAGTCATGGACCCATCCACATAAGAAAAAGTTATAGTCCACTAGACACTTGTACGCTTTTAGCGGCCATCTGTGTAATGTTAGTAACGTTGGGAGGTCTGTTGGACGAGGTTATTTGTAACTATGATCGTGTCCATGCCGGGCAAATTGGTCAAGTTGTGAGAAAAATCTCTTTTCTTTGTTTTGCATGGATCATACCCAACATGAGTTTAAATTTTCTAAAGATACCTGCTGCCTGCAGGTTCATCCACCCTGTTTATGTAGTCACTTTCCTCTGTATCCAGTTCATACAGTGCATGGATTTATCACTTTCTGCCCTCCATTTGAATTTTGTGCATTTTAACAGTTGGGCGCAAACAAGCCATTAAGTTGTTGTGATAATCTGTCCAAATTGCTGGTTTGTTTTTTTGTCTGCACGCCTGTGTTTCTTGTACCGCTGCATTTTGTT